GGATTACATCAGTGCTGTTTGTGGGGTAATCTTCTGTGGCATAACTCCACATACACGGAAGGATTACATCAGTGCTGTTTGTGGGGTAATCTTCTGTGGCACAACTCCACATACACGGAAGGATTACATCGGTGCTGTTTGTGGAGTAATCTTCTGTGGCACAACTCCACATACCCGGAAGGATTACATCGGTGCTGTTCGTAGGGAAAGGTTTTGGTCATGTTTAGTTTAAAATGTTTATTGTTGTCTACACCTTTTCCACTGACATTTTGGTTTTATGATGCAATGTAATTAAACTTCCAAGGGACGTGATCTTGAAGATGTCCTCGGAATACTGTCACAGTGTAGGGCTTCGTTCCTTACCACTACCAGATACTTTCTATTCCTTTCCATTTTTCAATTATATACCTGTCAATGGACATCTGAATCATACTCGCATGTTCTGGCAAATTATTTTTGTGTTATCAATGTAGTAAACTGTGCACTGATGTCAAACGTACCTACAACCACATCAGGGAATACTGACAAAACATGCACAGGGAGCTCAGCACAAAAAAGTTGTCAAATCTGTATCATTCTCTCAAACACCGAATTTAACAAAGAAGCTAAAGCTGATGGATGAGTTGAAATGGTTTTATTAACTTTCACAAGAATGCAGGAGATTATTCCAAGTGGTTCTCTCTCTCTCTTTTTTTTTAATGCCATGTGTAGTTTACCATCTATCCATCAATATTTTTTTATTTTGTTCTAAACATTATAATTTTTATTTTGAAACCTTATTTAATACCTTTGCTCACACACATCCCTGTAAAAAATGTAATTTGTACTTTTTATATAAAAATGCATAATAGGTTTTAAAAAACTACCTAACAAACTAGGTCATAATTTTTAAATTATCTTAGATTTTTTAAAAAGTATATTAGAAAAAGAAAGCTTATGAAGAACTGTGATTTTTATACACAATTTGTAATATTTAAACTAATTTAAGAGAAAGGTTTAAAATGATTTCCTGCACCATTTGTAGGTTGACAGCAAATTTCCGTTGATTTCAAGTTGCACGTGCCAGGGTACTCCTTTAGATGCCAAAACCACTCAAACAGCTGAAGCCAAAATCTATTGCCAAGCTATAGATGCCATCAGTGGCAGAGTAAGAATAAGTCTTAGTCCATGATTTAACTGTTGTTAAACAAGTTAATGTTTGTAATTGACAGTTAGACATTGAAAGAAAATACAAAGTTTAGTGACTGAAGAAAAATTATTTGTAGTTCTGAATATCTTGGCCCAACAATACACAAGTTCAGATAAAGTAAAAAAAAATACATGTATGAAATTTAAGTATGAAATGTTGGTATGTATTAAATTATTGTTGTTTAATCTTCTCCAGTTTCTTTTTAGTTTACACAGTTAAGAATATTATATAACAAGTAATATACATCTTTTATACATTATGATTCACTTTTAATCTCCAGAAAATTATGAGTTCTCGAGGTACAGCCATTTTTTAAGTAACAAAAATGGAATAATTTGATTTTCAATTCTTAGAGGCAAAAGGTAACGTGCAACTCTGTCTTTTTAAGAGTTTGAGAATCATATTTAGTGAAAAACTTACGGTGTAACAACTCTGGGAAATGATCAGTAGCAATTGTGTGATTTTGTTTGTGAAACTTTGTACAGTAGATACCCGAAGAAAACAAACCAGTGTTCAGTCGAAACATATAGTATGTTCCCTAAAATAAAACCACTTCGTTATACTTATAAATAATTTGTCAGTTTACTCTCCTATTAATATAATGTGCTTCCTTACACAAGTACAGTACACGGCTGATTGATTTTAAACTTTGTAATGATACACTATTTTATAGGCAGGATATTTTTAATATTGTGCAGTACAGAGCTGATAGATTATAAGCATTGTTGTAAAAAGCAGTTTGTAATGATAAATGTTTTGCTAGGAAAGAAAAACTTAAGCCACAGAATACATTTAGCTTTGTTTCACAGGTTAGCATATTGTTTAGTCATGCTTACTTAGGTTTTTGATGTTGTTATGAAATTGTAAAAAATTCTAACTGTTTAATGTCTTTGCAGCTTGTCGGTTGCTGTAATCCTGTTACTTCTCATCAGCTTGTACGCCCTTCTGTAAAAATACCTTTTACTGCCATGTGTGAGGTTCACTTGTGGCGACTTGCCCACCACCATTGTTGTCCCAGCTGTGGTGTCTTTTGTACTCAAGTAAGGGACAAGAAAATATTGTTTTATACTTTAACAATACTATAAGTTTAATTTTAAAACCAAGAAAATATTGTTTTATACTTTTACAATACTGTAAGATTAATTATTTACTTTAACAATACTTAAGATTAATTTAAAACCAAGAAAATATTGTTTTATACTTTAACAATACTATAAGATTAATTCTAAAACAAGAAAATATTGTTTTATCCTGTCAACTGGTTACTGATGTTGGAATCTCCATGGTTATTCTTTACATTGAATAAACATTTAATGAGAGAAAGAGAAAAAAAACGTTAATTTTGAAAGAATGCAAGTTTTTTTTGATTTAGTGGATTAGTTAATCATAAAATAGTTTTAAGTAGAAAAGTGTGGTAAACTCTTAAGGGTGAAAACTGTTTCTACACCAATCCTGGTAGAGAGAGGGGGAATGTGTGTATCTGGTTATAAATTTGATATGGATTGATGTATAAGTAAGAATTCTGTATTTAATTCTTAACTAAAAAATTGTCATAATTTGGATTATATTTTGAGAATTATATTAACAATTTACTGTTTATTTATTTCTTTATAGTTGTATGATCACCATTTCATTTTTTAAGCCATCGTGCTACCTTTTTTTCTTCTGTTTTCATGTTTTACAAATATTATATAAAAATTAATTGTCCATTCATCACAAAACTATGAAACCAAATATAGCAGCTGCTAAATGTGTGCTTTATTAAAAAATACTTGTTGGGCACATCCATGTACAGCAACAACAATGTAAATTAATTCCAAGTTTCGTCAGTGGTCAATAAAAATTATGTAGTTAAAAATGTTATCAGTTTGTTTATTTCACAGTTTGAGCATTCACTAACTATAGTTTTAAATCAAAAGGTTTTAGTATGGTGTCCAAAAAGTACTAGTAAATTCCGTTGACCATGAGTATTTTGGTAAATAAAATTGATTTACAAATAAAAACGATTCCATGTTACGTTTTAGGCTTTTGTGTCGCAGAAAACTGACAACTTTTATTCTGTATTTATAAAGTGACATTTGCCTTTTAGGGTGACTTTGTACAGTGTGTTACAACTAACAAAGGGAAGCGTCAAATACATCTTTTTCACAAAAGATGTAAAACAATACAAGACAATGGAGAGGACCCTCAGTGTCCACATTGTGGACGATCCTCGGGACTGAAGCCGATTCGTCTCGAACTGAATACTCCTACACCTCCAATTTTCTACCTCAGTCAAAAGCCATTGTTCACAGCGTAAGTCTTTGCAGATGAAACCTTTTGATTCTTCATTTTATTGACTGATTTAAGCAACTTAAAAGTGAAGGTTTTGTTACGACGATCTAATTGAAACATTATTTTGGTCATCCATCAACTCATTTTATCAGTACAACTGATAGTACATATGCAGCATCACTAGCTATTCACTATGAATCCGTCATCTGTTCCTATAAACCAGTTTATCAAACAGTGGAAGACTAGGAACGTACGTAATTAGTTTAAATTTGTCCAGTCTATCAAAATCATAATAGTAATTGATGTGATGAAACTAGTTTACCCGTGAATAATTTCTCTTTCAAAAGTGAACTTTGCACCCAAACTAATAGTAATGTAGTATGTACCAAAATCTGTGATTTGAGGGTCCATGGTTAAGATCCCTTTGGGGCTATGGGTGTATTACAAGAGTAAGGATCAAATCACAATATTCAGTTAGAGTAGCCCAAGAATTAATGGGTTCTGTCAATCACATTCATTCCCTCTTATCTATCCAGTGTTGCTTCTAGGATGCGTACTTTGCATATTTACGCTACTTTGATCGCCAAGGGCACAAAATAATCGTTTGCCTGTATACTGGTTCACGCCGAAAAAAAGTATGCTTTGTGTGCACCCGCCCTTCGAAATGTATTATTAATGGCTTCTTAACGACAGATCGCAATCGTAACAGGAAAATTCTGAACAGTAATTATCTCATTTGGATACGCGAATGAATGTGATTGGCTGCGTTATGACATCATTTGTTTTTGATTCCCTTGTTATTATGGGATATCAATGATTGAAAAAATTAAAGGTACGAAGACATTCATGAAGTGGTTAATTTTCAAAAATATATCAACACATGCTAGATCGTAGTCTACAATAAAGAAGAATTGAGAAAAGTTCCAAGATATTTATTTTGAAAAACACCATATTTTCAGTACATAAACAAATGAAACAAACGGCAGTTATTCAATTTACCGTTTCTTCAAATACAAGTTACTTGATCATATTATGCTTTTATGACTTGCGAAGTTGGTACCTACTTTATTACGTGGATGGCCCACTTTCTGGCATTCAGTGAGTGATTTGGCCCACTTGAGAAAAATCCTAGAAGCAACACTGCTATCTTCGAGTTTAAAATTTCGAGTTGCTAGTACGTGTATAGCCCCGTGTATGGTGCTTTGCAGTAATATCAAAAATAAATACATAATTTGAAATGAACTTTCAATTGGTGATAGTAAAAGAATTAAATGTTTCTGTTTCACAGAATAAACAGAATATAAACTCTATTAAACTTTCCTATCTAATGCAATACATGAGAGAAGGAGAAGCTGGTTATTTGAGGGAAAAGAATCTGTGTGGTTATTTTTATCCCCTCCCAACAATATGCACATCTTTGGTGAATAATTGGTCTAACATATATCTTATGAAACCCCAATGATTAGATCTTATTGTTCTACTTCTTAGAGTCATCACTTTTAAAAAAGATTATACTTTCCTGAAAGAAACTTTTAGAGTTTCAGTTTAATTACAAATTGAGTTCAACTCGGAGCTGGCTGGAAAATTAAGTTTAGTATTCTAAGTGAGGGAGCAAAGCTGCCAAATGATAGATAAAAAAAATCAAACCACTCAAATGTTTTTACTGTTTTATAATTTGTTTTTGCATGGTGTTATAATTATCGTAATGTCAGTTGATTTTTTTGTGTCTACAGCTACTTGATGATAAAGTAAAAACTGTCATTCACCGTACGGTAGGATTTTTGTTAGTGAGATTAAACAGATAAAAAAAAACATGTAAAAGATTACTTTGAAATACTGTTTTTGTGAGTCAGTGTCATTTATCCCAATAAACATATCATAAAAACATGTATAAATATTTTTAGAAAGATAAATATTTCATTATATGGTGAATAAAAAAAGAAAATCTGTTAAATAAATTCTTCTAACATGTCAGTTATTTGACCAGAGCCGTATGTTAGATTACAAGAAAAATTAAATATAAAACAAGGAAATTCAGTGAATGTGTGATATAGAACATGAACAGAGATAACATTATAGTCTTCACGAGAATGTGCAAGCTAGAGGAGTTTAAAAGAAGAGTGTATAATTAAGAAAAAATAAATTCTGCTTGTAACTTATATCATCATTGAAGAAATACCTGTGTGTGTTTGAAGAGTACGTTGGATTTTCAGACCCAAAGCGAAGATGGCATTTTCGAGACAGGTGGAATCAAAACAGGAAGAGCAGGAAGAGACGGTTCCTTCAAGATCGTTCCAGGTTCCAGATACAGGAAAAGTTTTATCGTCTGGTAAGTAGAATTTGTAAAACAGTTAAATATACATTATTATATTTTATGTTGGAGAAACTAAAATTTATCAGTAATTTAATAAAGGGGAGTAACTCTGTAACTGTAAAGATTGAGTAATTTACTTAATACAGGGGAGTAACTCTGTAACTGTAAAGATCAAGTAATTTACTTACTCAATAAAAGGGATTAACTCTGTAACTATAAAGATCAAGTAATTTACTTACTTAATAC